AACAAAAAACCAAACAAACGAAAGTCATTTTCTTCCACAATACACAATATAAAAATAAGGAGATGTGGTATGATTGCCAATGAGACAACTATCCACCAAAGTTCAAAAGAAGTGTAGGCAACCCTATGGCCTTCAACAATGAGAAAAACCCATACCGTATGATCGGCTATAAAAGGCTCCGACAAGAAAACTAATGACCTAATTTATAACAAAACAATTTACGAAAAACAAATATGACAGACATGAACCAACGACAACCACTGAACTACAGGCTCATGACTTGGGACAGGCACATAAAGAATGTGGCGGGGTTAAACATGATTGTGAGCGATCAACCCTCGCCTAACCGGGGACAGTGATGTAACAGCACAACATAATAACAAACTATAAAAATCAGTTGAAAATGGCTTAACTCATCAGATCGAAACAAAGCAGAAAAAACATCTCACAAAAACACAGACCGGACGTGGCAGGGTATTTATACATCCCTAACAACAAAAGACACAACGTACAGATCTGAGAGTACTCGCAGTTACTGACAGCTAGTTCAAAGCCAATAACAACTAATAAAAGAAATCATGTATCTACGAATAATATTTCAATCAGTACACAGCCAACATCCAATGGATGTAGTGTAAAGACGTCATTAACAGTCAGAGAAAAACATGACATTGTGCAATGCCAAAATATAGGTATCGACAGATTGTAGTACCGTGAAAGTGCATATGTGTATAAAAAAAAAATTATTTAGTATGGTTTTTATTTACTGATAACAAAATCAATATTTATACCAATAAAAACAATATTCAAAGATCTAAGTATAGTGTTGAATTGGAAACCCTTTAGAATAAGTTTATTTAAAGGATTGATAAGTTTACTCGGGTCTTGTATAACGTTCAGTTGCTAATATGTCATGCATATTCTGTTACAAAAACAAGCTCAAAGTAATTCATCCGCTGGTGTAGATATGACTTTGTCTAAAAATCTTATAAACGTATTTTTATATGTATAATACTAGCATGGAATAATTAAAATTGATTAGTCGTTTTTTAAACTGTAAATGAAGGAATTTATATTTATATTGAAAAATACGTGTAATTATTATTTAAATCAACTATAAATAATATGTTGTATTTTGTGTACTATTGTTTATCTGTTGGTCATTTTCTTTTTTAGCCATGGCGTTGTCAGTTTATTTTCGACTTATGAGTTTGAATGTCCCTTTGGTATCTTTCGCATCTCTTCTAAAAGAACAACCTTTATCAGTAAGTACAAAAATAAAAAAAGAGCAATTCTTATATATATTTACCTAATAAAAAAATGAATTTTAAATATTTTGTTCTTACATTCCGGCAAGAATGGTCATATTTACAATATTGATGTTTCTTTTTATCATAACATTGGTAACAAAAAAAACTATTGTGATCTATATCCAAATTGTAGACGTTTTTAGCTACATATATACGGTGCATTGAAATCTGAGATCACTACAAACCAATGGAAACGTTTACAAACACCAACTGCACCATGCAGTCACATAGAAATCGACACTAATTCAAATATCTATAGCAACATGTCTTTTATAAGGGATGACTTTAATTGTACACATACAATTTTAGCAGCGCCTTCAACTAGAGTATATATCTCTCTGTTCTCACGATAGCTTGCGTTTTCTATAATGGTCCTACCGATAAAGTTTTAATATCTCATACGCAGCTATACAAGTCACAATAAGGGTCGATAGCTCTGTCGGTACAGATTGACTGGTAAAGGGTTGACAAGTTCTTAGATTTAATTATGTGCACTTTATTTCTACACTAGGCCAAACTTCGGTAAAAACTTGTCAAATAAAATTACAAAAAAAAAAAGGAAAAATTCCAAAATCATTTAGATTGAGTTTACTAGGCTTAATCTTTTTTTTAATCAATTGACAAATTTTACAAACAAAAAATAAAACAAATCGATGTATTTTACAATTGGTATATAATTTATATATAAAAAAATAACTATGTTAAAACATTAAGAAGCTGAAAATATTAATATCTATTTTTTTTCATAATTATTGTTCTGATATTTTATCCAGTGTTGTGATAGAATTTGAAATGTCGAAGAATTTCCCGGGGTCAAAATATCCCGATATTTTATTTACTTTAAAACTCTGGAAATAACTTTGTACACGGGATGATTATAACAAGTATTGGTAATTTGGTTTGGCATACGTTTCCTGTGTACTACCTGAATAATTGTATATAGTTGACTTTATCTACCTGTCTGTAACTTGGCAGGCTTACCTGTTGTTTTACTTTTCTCAGAGGCATACCGGTACATACACATGTAGATATACGTCTGTGCTTTTCTATATTTTAATGCAGATGTATGGACTGTAACAAAAATTATATTTTTGCATCGAAAAAAAAACACTTTTGAAATAATCATGGACAAAACATGCCACCTTCAGAAATATGCCAAATATATAATGAGAAAGGCAAATTTATCTGAAGTATGAACACGACAAAGACACAGCCGCCGTTTTGAAAAAACCCGACATCGTCAAAAAATTCATGGTTTTAAATCGATTAGGGACGTAATTTGCCAACGAATTAAACTGTTATAAATAGGATGCAGTGGATAGACGTATGTTTCAGATGTTAGAATATAGGTGCAAAGTTATACATTTGTTTTAGGAATTTGTGAAATTGATGTATAAGAAGACGAAAGTTTTTTTAGTTTTACAATACAGTCAACGGACAGAGGAGGAGAAACAGATTTGATTTATGATTTTTTGTGTTTTAACGCCATTTTTAAGCACCGCTTTTGGGCTATTTCGTGGCGGCCGGTTTTTATTGGTGGAGGAAGCCGGAGTGCCCGGAGAAAACCACCGACCTTCGATAGCAAAACTGACAATCCTAGTCAATTAAGATTGGAGTCGAGTGCACCCGCACAAGCGGGGTTCGAACTCACAACCTCAGTGTTGACTGGCTAGTGATTACAGTAGTAACTACTTAGACCACTCGGCTACCGAGGCCCCTTAGGAGAAAAAGAACAATATTTAAAAATGACCAGGGACGTAATTTCAATTAAATTTAAACTGTCAGGGTCAACATGTTAAGAAAGATTTACGTACGAAGACAAAGGATAGAGGTGCAAAAATTAGAAAACGGATCGGATTAACAGACAAATTAAAGTTTATTGAATGGCCAATGCAATTTCTATAAGACAATTTTACTAAAGATGGCAGATTTCTACGTCATCGAAATCACGCGATGTCTTATTTAGTTGGATATGAGATCCGATAATTTACGCTCTTTTTAGTAGGTTAACAGTTGAAATACCTTTTATCTCCCCTTAGTCCCAAAAAATCAGTTGATTAAAAGAAACACCTTCAATTTCTAACAAACTTTTCTAAAATTGTCCGTTTATAAATTTCGAAATTATAAAGAAACTAAGATTTCAACTCCCCCAAGAAAAAGTTGACCATAGATGGATTTTGCTAATTTTTTAGGTCCTTTTTGATCATATAGCTCTTCAACTGTTTCGGTTCTTATACATCATTGGCTTTCAAATATTCGGCTTTGAGAGTTCCTAATGAAGGCAAATCCATAAAAGCGCTTCGGACGCATAAAATTTATAACGTGTTGTTTCATTTTTTTAAAATAAGTTTGAACATGTTTAAAATAGGGTTCGTGTTCCTTAATATTAAGTTTTTTTTCTGTTTTGTGGACTATTGTTTTCTATTGGTCTAAAAGGCTTGTTTTTTTTTTTTTATTCTTCTTTAATTTATGATTTAAATATTGTTACTATATAATACCATCGGTATCAATCGCACTATAAATCATGTAACTCATTATAGGGTTCGTAATATTCGTACATTCTGTAATAAATTATTTAGGTTTTGATCTCTGTCAAAAAATAGAAGCCGTTTCTGAATGTAATGTATGTGATGTATCAATCTGAATCATGTCTCTGTAGTGAATATTTTCTTGGTCGAAGAAAAAAGTAGGTGCTTATTTTAGAATTATCTAAACAACACACACTAATACATTTTATAAATAAGAAACATCAGAATTTATTGAAGAACAATTTATTAAATAATCAGTTTAAAGATGTTTAATAATCAAAAAGCATTTATTATCGTATTCAAAACAATTCTTTACATTAGTTTTTATTTGTTGTGTCATACAGTGTAGAAAAAATACATTTTAGACGCTTGTTACCCTCGACATTAACATTTTACCACTAATCTATCAATGTTTAAACCCCTTTTGTAGCATTGTTGCAATCTGGTATTTATTACATCTGGCGCTTTTTAAAAATTAACAATCCCCTCCGCTTTGCTGTGCATTAGGTTAAAAGACTAATGATTTAAGTAATCCTTCAATCCCCTTTTCCTATGAAAAAAATAATAAGAAGGAAACGACACTTCTATGTTTCGATAGTGAAATACAAACAGTCAATTTCTAGTTTTAAACATAATCAAACAATGGCAATGGTAATCAAGATTGTTTTAAGAAATGATTGCTTCTTTTTGTAATTTTATTGAGGTGTAAAAGTGTTGACCGAAGCACATTTTGTACGAAGCGCGGAAGCGCTTCATTCTATAAATGTGTGCACGATCATTACAATTTTATGCTAAGGCCATGGAAAAAAAAGTGTTATCAAGTTTTTATTCTATTTACCTGTGCACTTTTTTGGAAGCACGTGTCATCACGAATGTAACATTTCATTTTGATATGAAGGTTAATTTTTAAATGACGCGCGATTGTTGTTAGCCAATCAAACTAACGGATTATCGTGAAACATACATGCAATGTAATTATTAAATAATGAATGCAACTTTACATATGAAAAAAAGGAAATTCAAGATAAAGGTTAACGAAAGCAATCCACGGCACACATAAAAACCCAACGGTCAAAATACAGTCTTTTACAATGAGTGGCTATCATATGATTATGTACAACAGTAGTAATGTACCATAAAAGTTACAACTTACTCTAAACTTCAAAAAGAATTATATATATAAATGGAAGTAATGATCTTGGAACTTTATCAAATATTAAATTTAGATTTTTACTTGAAATGGCAATGTTAAATATACAAAATGTAGAAATATATTTTTATTTGCATGGATGTTCGTTTATATTATATATATTTATATTATTCATTATTTATACTATTTTCGGAATCTTATTCCTATTTATCTAAATCAACGTGCTTTTTATGACTTTGTTGATAATGTAGTTCTAAATTGTTTTAAATTATAATACATTAATCCTGCCTGGAATTAAAACGACTCTAAATTGATTAATGATGAATTGCATATATCAAACAAATCTTCAGAATCACTACCATTTGTATCCGCGTCTGAATCTCCAGCGAATTCTATTAATTTCAAACATGATGCTGGAACTGTACCCACCAGTAAAACTTCCTGGTGACGTTCTGCAAATTTGTGAAATATTTCATTCGCAGCCATGTCACTTATTTCGTATTTTTTCCTCAATGACTTTGTTGTCAAATCGATTATTTCTACTTTTTCTGGTAAACCATCAACGTCGATTTCAGCAATATGTTTCATACCCCAGCTATATCCACTTTGAAGTTTTAAATTCCTGAAATATTCCGCTTTTTCGAGCGACGCACATGTTGAAATATACTGAGAATGATAATCTCTTCTACTTCCGGTTGCAACGTGAGTAGCAACATCTTTCCGCGCATTTGGTGATTTTGCTGATAATCCCTCAGTTACATTTTCATTATCATGAAGTAATCGGTACAACTTTGGAAACTTTATCTGATAATCAGAACAAAAACATCGAGTTAAAGGGGCATTAGCTACGAAATATACAAAAAATTATTTAGTTCAATTTTGTCAAAATAAGATAAATAACATTGCTAATGAATTATTCACATGCAAGTGGATAATTCGACCGCTTTGAATCCGAATTCATGTGATCTTTAATTTAACCCTTAGCCGGAGATGGGTTACGCATGTATTCAGCTATTAAAAGGAAAATAATGTCAACATTGAAAGTGAAACAAGGACGAATCATTTGGTTGACTGATTCGATTCACAAGAAAATCATTCTAACACAGGTAAAAACGATGATAAACATATTTGTTAACCTACAATATGAAATCAAACAGTCCTAGAACAATCCAATTGCACGCGGTCGATACCAGTTTATGTTTATATCTATGTTTATATCCGGTTATATGACCGTCGGCAGTTATGGAACGCCATAACTGTCTTGTTATGCCCATTTTCATTATATGATGTGCATTTACCTTTATATGATGAACACTTGTCATTATATGATGTGCAAACACCTTTATATGATGTGCAAATATCCTTATATGATGTGCAAACATATTTATATGATGTGCATATATACTAATATGAGGTGCAAATATACTTATATGATGTGCAAATGTACTTATATGATGTGCAAACATTCTTATATGATGTGCAAACATTCTTATATGATGTGCAAATATACTTATATGATGTGCAAATGTACTTATATGATGTGCAAAGATCCTTATATGATGTGCAAATATACTTATATGATGTGCAGATATCCTTATATGATGTGCATTTTCCCTTATATTATGTGAAAACATCTATATTTGATTTGGTTGTGTCATTATATTATGTGCTTGTAATCTTATATGATGTGGTTCGGTTTACTTCATTAAATGATGTCGAAACGTCATTATATGATGTGCTTTCATCGTCGTTATGGTCAATGAACATGATTACGATTAGAATGATTACTGTCTACGTCATAACTGATTCTGATCTGCTTCTGCGGAGTAACTATACACCCGGCTCAAATCTGTAGCTATCGCTAGCAAAAGTGCAATTTATGGGAAAAATGAGACAATGCAATTTAAAAAAAATCAACGTTTCAAACATTTCGGAGGAAGATTAAGATCAATTTAAACAGGAGCTAGTTGAAGAAATTTCCGGCTGCGGCGAAAATATGATAAAACAAATTTTAGGGCTCTTTATAGCTTGCTATTCGGTTTGAGCAAAGGCTCCGCGTTGAAAGTCGTACTTTAACCTATAATTGTTTACTTTTTACAAATTTTGACTTGGATGGAGAGTTGTCTCATTGGCACTTATACCACATCTTCTTATTTCTATTCATTGCAAAAGACACCGTCAGTTTTAAAAATATTTCATAACAATAGCTATTAAATTATCTAATCATGCATAATATGGCGAGATGGTTTGTTTTATAAAATGTTATTGAATTATATAAATGGTAAGCTGTATAATGTAATATTGAATATGTACAGTGATATTAAATCTAGTATATCATATAATAATTCAATTTGTAATTCGGAATACTTTGCTTGCTTGTGACAATGGTGTACGACAAGGAGAAAACTTATCACCTTTCCTATTTTCTTTACTTTTGAATGACTGTGAAAATTTCTCAGTAAAAATATTACAGGACTTAAAACTATAGCAGAAGATCTGGAAAGAGAATTAGAAATATATCTTAAGTTTTTTATTATATTGTACGCAGATGACACGGTATTGTTGGCCAAAACAGCACAGGACCTGCAGACTCAACTCAATGCCTTCTATGATTATTGTAAGGCTTGGAAATTGAAAGTAAACGTTGACAAAACCAAAGCCTTAGTGTTTGGTTTTGGACGTTTGCCAAAAAATTTCCGATTTTCTTACAATGACACTAACATTGAGACAGTAAAGCAGTATAACTACTTGGGAATTGTTTTTACTAAAACAGGGAATTTTAATATGACAAAAAACATTTTTCCGATAAGGCCTTAAAAGCCATGTACGAAGTCCTGAGAATGGGAAGGATGTATCAGCTTTCTGTAGAAACTGGTCTAACAATCTTTGCTTTATAACAGTTTTTAACCAATCTTTATTAATGAAACTTTGTGTTTCCCATATATATGAGAAACCACAATTTTGAAATATTTTTTTGACAAACAGAATCCATGTAGTCTGCATGTTATGATGACCGTTCATATGGCGAGAAAGTTAATATAATATAAACGAAAACTTTGCTTGTTTTCCGGATATCAAATTTGCCCAAAATAATACTGCTCGAACTTTTATATCTATGTCGACCGGATGGCGACCTAGTTCCCCGTAAACTATATAATTTGGTGTTGAGGATTTCAGATTTAAAAGTAATTTACAGAATTTTAAATGTATCTTTTCTAATATATCATTATTACTAAAACCCCATACTTCGCACCCATACAACAGAATGGGCTTGACTATTTTTTGTCAAAAAGATGAAGCTGACATTTTACAGAATTGGAATTCGCTAATCCAAAATTCGTCAAAAGCTATTAACTACAAAATTTTAAAGAAAAACCGGGAATTTGAGTAATATTTTAATATTTTGGACTTTAAAGATGCCGTTGTTCTCTGTCAATTTCGGACGACTAATAACAAATTGCCGATTGAAACAGGAAGGTGGCAAAACGTATTAAGAGAAAACCGTTTTTGCCATCAATGTAACAATCGACAAATTGGAGAAGAATATCACTATATATTTGAATGTACTTTTTTCGATCAAAAACGTAAAGAGTATTTATCATCCTATTTTGTACAACGACATAATACAGTTAAATTCTCTGAACTTATGCCGAGTACTCGAAAACCAGTACTGAAGATGCTTTGTTCATTTATAAAAAAAATATAAACACGTGTGTTTGTCCTCCTGGCTAGTGACTTTTGTAACCTCTCTCCCTTGTTTTGTATATATTGTAAATAGTTATTGTTGTTATCTCTGTACTGATGTCATGCATTGACTTTATGAGAATAAAGATATATATAGAAGCCATAATTATACCGGCATGGATGATTGATTGATTAATTTGTTGATTGATTGATGTTTAACGCCACTTTCAACACTATCATGCTATTTCGTGGCGGTGAGTTTAATTGGTGGAGGAAGCCGAAGTGCCCTGAGAGAACCACCGACCTTCGGTAGGAACACTGACAATTCTAGTCAATTAAGATTGGAGTCGAGCTTACCTGCCACGTGCGGGATTCGAACTCACAACCTAAGTGTTGACAGGCTAGTGATACAGTAGTTCGATTACTTAGACCTCTCGGCCACCGACCAGCCTTTGCTCTTACTCCTTAAATTCGCGTGCTTAGCAGGGAAGCAGCAAATATCAATTTGAAAGTCTTTGGTTTTGATCATGCCGGGGTTCGAACCCACGACCGCCCGCACTCGAGGCGAACATGCTACCACGAAAGCACCGCCACTAGACAGTAACCCGCAATATAAAAGGTTTCGTGGGAAGCCGCTCATATATACACCTCCAGACTCAAGTAAACAGGGCTAACGTACCAACCATTCTTTTTTTGGTGAGTGGGGGGCATGTTTTTTTGTAAATGTTTGATTCCAAATTTCTTCAAAGATATTTTATCTATTTCAAAAGGGAAGCGAAAAAGTTTGTTTCCATTTAAAATGAGGGAAAAAATAAAACAATAATGAAATTAAAAAAAAAAATAACCATGTTATTTTTTTATTAAAGTCAAAAAAATTTGTTTGTCCTGAGCACAAGGAAATACACGTGCTCCTGCCCACACTAGATGAAGAGTCGGTGCATAACCAATCTGATAAAGGTACAAATGTACAGATCATCTGTCTAAGCTTTGGTTACAAGGATCTGACAACTTCATTTTACTTTCTGTTCTGGTAAATATTACATCAGCCAATGAAATTTCAGCCTTCATATTTTTGAAGGTGTGGATTAATCAGACAAAACCAGAGAATCCCAATGGTCTTTAAAACAGAAAATAGAATGGAGCGTTTTCAGATCGGTGTAAGCAAAGCTTGAACACACAATATCTGTAATTTAATCAGACTGGTGTCTAAATGAACGTAAAAACTGCATTAAATTTTATTTATTGTTTACTGAGACCTGTTGGTCTCTTACATATAGAGAGTGGTGTTTTAAATTTTTCCAAGTGAAGATTTACGGCAGCGGCTTTTAATATTTTGCATTTATCCTGGAAACTTCAATAGATTAAAAACAAAATAGTGCAATGTGTTTGAATACACTCTATAGTAAAGATACCTTTCCTTGTAAAATGGGATAGACAAGAACAGATTTAAAAATAAATAAATTATTATTATGGTAATTTTCTTTCATTTGGGGTGGGGACGTGGGAGGAAACATGGAATTTCTCTTATTTTTTTCAAGTCTACACCTTGAAGAAGGAAAAACAATCAAGACCCCCCTTTCCAAAGACATAAGCATTTCAATCCACCCCTTCCCCCCAAAAAAAACCACCACCGAACAATCACACACAAACACACACACACACACACATTTTCAATACTTTTGTCGTAATAACAAAAAAAACAACGCATTAAGTTTCTATTGCATTATAAATTTAAAATATTGCGTCAGTAGTGGATCTAGAACTTCAAGTGTGGATGTTGTTTGCGACTTCAGGGAACTTAATTTGGATATGCCGGTTATGGTCTCATTGATATTTACCACACCTTCATTCAATATAATTTAGCTTCAGATGAAAAATAGTCTTCTAGAAGAAATTGTTGAAACTAAGGATTAAGCGGAACGAGGCGTAAAAATAGATGTCTACGGATAACGAAGACATCGCCATAACATTATACGGCGGCAAATCTATAACTATAAAAAATTGAATACCACCTTTCCATTCCAAAAATAATAAAATTAAAGGCCACCTTTATTTCTTCCTATCCCTTCTTTTTGAGGTTACAAATGACCGGTCCCTTATATGAGCCATTACCCTATCAA